TTTGACACAACACTGTAAATGATTATGAATCAAAAAAATGTAAAAAATAAAAAAAAATAAATCTCCAAAAAAAAAAGAATTAAAAATAAATAAGTTTTTAAAAAATAAAAGGTGTTATGTTTTATTCCAAAACAGTACTTCTGATTCATCACCAGAAAGGCTTTAAAGATTTTCTTCCCAAGTTCTCAGGGCAATCTGGGCAGATACACAGTTCTGGTCACACATACAATCTAGGTCAAACTCAAGAGTTAAAAATCTACCTAAAACTTTTAGCCCAATTCATGTAAGTTGAGAGGTTCACATGATGACTATGACTAGGAACTACTGCTCACTTGAAATGAGGCACAAAGACTCATGTTGATCAAATAAAGCGTGCAAATAAAACACACTCAATTTAATGTTGGGCTGTGACATTTTGAACTCAGATTCAAATTCTAATCAAGTATTACTTTTATACGATGCTTCTTTTTAACTGAGATTTTTATTGAGATAGTTGTAGACTCACCAGCAGTTATAAGTAATAATACAGCAAGGTACCACAGACACTTTACCCCGTTTTCCCCTGTGACAACATTGTGCAAAACCAGAGTGTAACACAGCCAGAATGTTGACGTTGCTACAATCCACAATCGTTTTCAGGTTTCCCCAGTTTTACTTGTACTCGTGTGTGTGTGTGTCTGTGTGTGTGTGTGTGTGTGTGTGTTTAGTTCTATACAATTTTATCACATACGGGTTCTGTATTCGCCACAATAAAGACACTGAACAGCTCCGTGACCCCAAGGCTCTCTGGTGTTGCCCTTTCATAACCACACCCACCTCTTCCCTACTCCCTTTAACCCACATCCTTAATGCCTGGAATCCACTAGTTATCTTCTCCATTTCTAAAATTTTGTCATTTCAAAAATCACACAGTATGTCACCTTTGGGACTGGCTTTTCTCACTCAGCATGATTCCCTGAGATCCACCCACACTGGGGCGGGTATCAAAGACTCGCTCCTTTTTATTGCTGTGTGGTTTCCATGGTGTGGCTGGACCACAGTCTGTTTAACCATTCACCGACTGAAGGACTTCTGGGCTGTTTTCCAGGTTTGGGCTATTAAGAATAAAACTATTAAAAATAAAACAAACGTATATGTACAGGTTTTTATGCAAAAAAATATGCTTTTATTTCCCTAGGATAAATGCCCAAGAGTGAGCTTGCTGGGTTGCGTGGCAGTTGCATGTTTAGTTCTCTAAAAACTGCCCAACTGTTTCCTAGAGTGGCCATTTTACATGCCCACCTGCTGCACGTAAGTGACCCAGTTTATCCACATCCTCACCAGCATTTGGCGGTGTTACTATCTTTCATCTGAACCATTCTGGTAGTTGTACAGTGACATCCTGCTGTGGCGTTGATTTGCATTCACAATGCTCTTTTAAAGGCTATCAAAGTGTGAACCACCTGCAACTTGCATCAGTCAGCTAGCTGGGCTGAGTGAATTTTGTTGGTTGCATCACAGGCTGCCAGCCCATCGGAAACACCCTGACCCCCTTAGCTCTCTTTATTCCAGGCTCTTCAGTCACTAATAGGAGACAAAAAGGAAGGCAGGGGAACCTTTTCAAAGTCTTACAAATAGTTAGGAAAGAAACCGTACCCTACTTTCGCAGCAGCTGAGGTGAAGCCAGACTGAATGCTCTGGCCTTGCTGATGGGATTGGGCCAGACTGACCTGGGTGGGCAAACCTGCCATCCGCTCCCACTGCTCCTTGCGTTTTCACTGAACTAGTTCCCAAAACAGGGCATAATGGACTCCCTTTGATAGGCAACCCTAGCAGGCTAATATTCTATCCTGCTCCTAATACAAAAATGCAAGCCTGGAATCTAGCATGGTACCTAGCTAACACCCAGTGTGTCATAAATACTGGATAAATGAATGGTCAGCATAGTTGGACGGATAGATGAGTGAGGGATGGATGCGCAGCTGGATGGACGGGTGCATACGGCTCCCCAGGTACTGAGGTTTCACCTAGCAGTTATGACGAATAACAAGAAATTAGCAAAAAACCAAAATGTTGGGCTTTTAGTCACTAAGGTGAAAACCTGCTGTTTTCCAAAGCCTCTGCCTTTGTGCCACTTAACCCCTCA